CATCAAACAATGCAAAGCTTAATACAGATGGAAATTACCTGAAAAAAAGGGTCCCATGAAGCATATATCATAGGCCCACTGTGCCTATGATATATGCTTCATGATATATGATCTATTACATTTTTTAAAGGTGGTCAGAGCTGTTATAGTTTTTGTTTGGCAAAATGTTCATGATCATCATATTATGGCGTAGAGTAAGACACAGGGGAGGTCATGATTTCCACCACGAGAAGTGTTCTTTATTAAACACCAGGGCAGAAAGACACATAACATACAGCCAAGCCAGGGGGAGGCCACAAATAGCCAGGCTCCCACCTCACTGAGAACCCCCATCTCACATAAACAACCTGTGCCCCAGAGACAAAATAACACAAATCATACATCTTTCAACTAACAGACAACAACATAAACAACAACAATAAGTCTCTTTACTATAGGGTACACACCTCCCATGTGCCTCCTTGCATGGCCCTTTGTATGGCCACGCCTCGTGAGCTGCTCAGAGGCAGTGTGAGCCAGTATTGGGATGCTACAGTATCATCATTATTTGATGTAAAAGGATTTTATTCCAGCTAGTTTCAGGCCATTTCTGTTGATCTCTTCATAATCAAATATATTTGATTTCTCAGGTAGTATGAAGAAAAATAATAAACAAATGAAAAAATGGAATTACAGGATTTTCTTACAACAGTGATAGAGCATCTACTTACTTGTGCCCTGCCAAACAGCTGGAGAGGTGAACAGACCAAGTGGCACAGAGAGGTGCTGAGGCAGGGAATCCCCCCCATCACACACACACACACATACACCTCTCCCACCTTCTGTGGTCACTCCCACCCTTTCATACCATCCAACTCTACCACAGCCTCTTCTCTTCCATCCCCCACCCTCCAGATGCATCTCCAGTTGGCAGCTGTTCCAAGACCTGGTGGTGGGGAGCATCCATGCCAGGCCTCCAAGCCCCTCATGCCCACCCTCCTATACCATCACTTCATCACTCACACCACACTTTGCCCATTATTCATGCTCCCAAGGATAGCGTCCATTTGATCTATTACTTAGGAGAGCCACCGTCAACTGCTGCGCGGCTGCCACCATGCTGCATCTTTAATTACTAGCTGTTTTTGTTACAGTGATGAAATATTGAAGGGGCCGAAGAGGAGGACCATGCAGTTCCCCTCTGGACGAACCTGCCGTATTCGGACCAGCTGTTTCATATTTCACACAGAACACGTGACCAGATGTGTGTTGCAACAGTCACTGTGGGTCAAACTGGTCAGCTGTGCGGGTATTTATGATTACAAGAAAAGTCTCTGTACATGAATTGTGTATGTTTTGATCACAGGATACTTACAAGGATCTGGAAAGTCAAAATCTCTTTGCTTTAAAGCAATATAGTGGCTTTATGATATAACAATATAAGCTAAAATATAATGTTATATAGCTGAAATGTACAGTTAAAGGCAAAAAATCTAATTTACCGATTTTCCCTTTACTCAAAAGTAGACAGTCAGTCAAGTCAGGTTCATCATAGGGATAAAAAGTCATATAGCCACAGTAGTAGGAGCCATCTTAAAGCCTAAATTATGTCTGTACTTTTGTCTATTTTTACAGGTAACAGTATGTTATGGTATCAGAGACCAGATAATCAAGACTTTGATATTATATAACAACTTGACATGGTTTTATGGCAAGTGTGTTATGATTTGAGCACACAATTTGCACAATGCTAATTGATAAATATAAGCTTCCACTAATTGTCAGCTACATTAGCCTCATAGCTCCAGTGCAAAAGAGACCTTTGTGTGCGCATGTGTACATTCAAATATTTTGTCAAGTACCAGTGCTCATTACAGTTGTGGTCAGTTATTCATGGTCTATTATTTATAAGCTATGCTAACTAAGTGCCATAGGCTGGGTTTTGGTGTTCATTAGGGTGAACTAACTCCCAAAAAGAATTGATTCCTCGATTACAGACATTAGGAATTGGGAGTCGACTTGAAAGCTTTAGACTTGATTCCACACAGGGACGCTGACATTCTGCTGTCACTTAATAGACAACCAATCAGAAAAACATTTTTCCACAACTCCCACATTGATAGTCTTGCTGCATTTTACTTGCAGAGGAAAACAAAGGAAAATATAATATTACTGACTAAAAATGTGAATCAGGAGAATCAGGTGTCACTTTCACCACCCCTTGTTAATCAGCTAAGTTCATTTATCTAGCGTTAGCTGTCCAAATATCCTTGCTAAGGTCAAATATAATTAACATTGTATTCTCTATTTTTACCAGATGTCTATCTCTATGTTTTGTTTTTTTTGGAATTGAGATTACTGTGTGGAATCGACTCCAGTGTGGACTCGACTCAATTGATTCCTGTCACTTGTAATAGGAATTTGAATCAACTCCAAAATTTTTGAAGTGGAATTTGGAATCAAATTTTTGGAATAGTGTTTATGACAGTTGTAGTCCACCAGGTAATTGAACATTAGAGAACGATTCCAAACGTTTGTAGTAAGGGCCTCGGTAGATAGGTCCAATGTAGAAAATGCCCAAAAGTTATTTAATTTGGAGCTGCAGCGTCATATATAAAGCCTGCAGTGGTTTAAGATTTAATGGTTTATCTGCTGAAAAAGATCAGCAGGCATCACAAAGAAGTCTCTGAATTCAGAAATGAAGGTAGCCCTGCTGTGCCTACTGCTGTCTTTAGCCTACATCCTATCTTCAGCCTCCTGGTGTGGGTTTCCTTATTCTTGAAGTGCTACTGCAGTGCTAACAGCATCCCCTTGTGGGGAATCTTAAATTATACTACATTTCTGTACAATCTGTACATTTCACAAAATACAAACCTTTTGAGTGCTGCTTCTGTTCTTTTTTTAATTTTTTAATTGAGCTACACCACATGCATTTATAGCACCAGCACTACTATCTTAAAAAGTTTACATACAGTCCTGTTCTGTGGTAAGTGGAAAACTGGGTAAGTTTGAGTGTTTGTTAAACTATCACTTGTGAATCAAAATGGTCAGAAAGAAACAGCCTTGGACATTATTTAATTGATCTGCTGTAAATTTACAATGTGTTGTCTTTGTTAATGGACAGATCCTGACATAACTCTAACACTACACCATATTAAGATGCAGCAGACACATTTACTACCACCATGTGGATTTTACATCAGGCCTCTTTTGAACTGTGAATACCTGTGTGCACATTAATGCAAAAAGTAAAGTGGAAACTGGCCTCAGACTGGACTGTGGAAAGTCTGGGTCGCTACTGACTACTGAACCTAAAACGTTCGGTTCTCTGCGGGAATTACTGTAAATAGTTGGAAAATTGGCCAGCGTGGCATTCTGCCCTTTGGGGACTTCTCTGCTGTATGTGTGTGAGAGAGAAAAAGGGAAAGAGAAAGAGAGAGAGAAGGGGAGAGGGAGAGAAAAGGAAAGAGAGAGATTAGACAAAAGAATCTCAGGAATCTAAGCTAAAGCCATGCCAATCTCTCCTCGCATTCATACCATTACATCTCCCATTCTGACTAATGCCCATGAAAGTGGCGTCATCACCAACCGCTACAGAGAAGTATGTGAATGTTCACCACAGAGGAAAAAGTCGAGGTGTAATGCATTAAAAAATGACTGCATTTGCGTTAAAGCAGCAGTTTAGGTAATTGGCTGAGGGGAGTGTGTGATTGTGCAGTGGCGTGGAAAGCAGTCTGGCAGTGATCTACAGGAGTCCATTAATTGCTATATGAATGCTCCTCTCTCATCTCCACACTGGTGCTGCCTCAAAGAGAGAGAGAGGGAGAGAGAGAGAGAGACGGGTCACTCTGTCTTCCCCAGCCCACATCCGCGCCAAGCTCATAACGACTAAAACCTCTAATTAATCTTGCTATCAAGGGGTAACTATAGCACTCACTATATAAATGAATTATCGGCCTAACTCTATGGGTGTGCGTGTGTGTGTGTGTGTGTGTGTGTGCGTGTGTGTGTGTGTGTGTAAGACAGTATTTAGAGTGGGCACTGTTAACAATTAACACAGAGCATTCGAGCAAAATGGCCAGGCTTGAACTGCAGTAAGGAATTTCCACTTTTTATAAGCAAACTAGGGACGTCACTATGGATTAAATTAGTAATTGAGTAATCAAGTGATTATTCTGTCGATTAATTGAGTAATTATACACTCACAGTTTATAATAACAAACTTTTAATTTTATTTAATGTACATTACATTTGTTACTACAACATGCCTGTCAACTTAATCCTAATGGAAATATAGAGCTGGTAATGGAAAATCTGTAGAAGTTCATAAAATAAACATGTGCCAACCCCCACAAACCCATTTCTATCATTACAATATCAACAATTCCTTCAAACAGAATTAAACAGTCCTTTCTCTACATGCTCAAATAAAATCATTTTGCTGTGATTTGAGAATCTACTTCATCTTTCTATGATGGCTTAAATGAGTATTAGTTGTTTGTTGATGTTCATTGGGTCCAAAATTCAAACACCTCCTGATTTAATTGACCTCAATTTAATAATAAAAGTGGATGTATGCAGTTTGGTTTATATTCAGTTGACATTAGGTGGTGATACTGAATACGGTTTAGAGAATAACCTTCTTATTGTATGCTTCTTAACATTACAATGCAGAATTGGGCGAAGACTGTAATTTATAATATAATAATAATTCATAATATTTTTAGGTTATGTATAATTTAATGTTCTATGTTTATGAGTTATTAATACATATGTATAATTAATGGTATGTACAATGAACTACAAACTAATTTCATTTTCGCCCCTTTCTTCTTTTTATTTTTATAAAAAGAAGAAAGGGTATTTCCTGAAATTAAGTTTATTTCGAGAATGTGAAAACTTGGGATGCTTGACAGCTATGCTACAAACATACATTCATTAGTGAGATCCTGCTAGTGTGGGTTTCCTCTTTTCCAGTGATGCACACAAAAAATGTACAGATCACAAAGTAATTTCAAAGCTGATTCATCAAGGATGTCGGTTTTAATTGATAAATTGTGACAGCCCTAAAGCAAACAGGTAAATACATCACTCATTAGGTACAGATTTATAAAGTGGTTATTATAAAGTGCTTACTGAACAAAGACATTAGACACAAAAAGCATATTCTCTTTGTAAAGCCTGAGTGGAAAGTATGTCAAGCACATCAAACAGCGAGAGAACAAAAATGACTTCCTTTAGCATCTCTCTTTATCAATGCTGTAAAAAAAATCCCTATATCTGAACGATTTTCCTGGCCTATGAGATCCTGATAGCTCTTAATGTGGAGTGTTTTCTCTCTCATAGGACTTCAATGTGGAGCTGACCAACAATAGGCCCTTGTGCTGAAATCTAATTGAAGTGATTGATGAATTCGCCAAGCCTTTTCGGTTCAGTTCCTGTGCTCCGGCATGTGAGAATAGCATAACACGGAGCGAATGGAACATGCTAAGCTGTAGCTGTGTATATGAGAGTTGACGGCTAGTCCCGGCATTCATAATAACTTTCCCTCTCGTGTCATCAGCGCTACTCTGTGGGAAGTGAACAGGTTGTGACATGTCCAGATACGGGTTTAGATACTCGCTGGCCCTTAGCCATCAGCCTCCTGTGCGGCCAATGCACTCCAAGACCCTGAGTCTTTTTTTCAGTGGGGCCCCTTTTGTCTAAGGGGGAAATTTCTAACGCTATACTGGCATCTAGTGGTGCAGAGTGGCACTGCAGCCTCCGGGCCAAATCAGTAACAGTGTTTACAAGTGGCATTTGTTTCTGATTAAACGCAGCACTTGTTGGAGCACTTGGTCCGGGGAGGGGCTGGCATCCACAACGACGCACGCAGGGTTCTGGATCCGCTTGTAAGCTTCATCCACTCTGGAAGGAAGGAGATAAAGGTCAGTATAGATGACACCACCAGAGTGCCAAATGTGTTGCTTGTCAAAAGTTTGGGGACACCTCACTGTTACGATTAAATTAAGTGTTGAAAATGCCAGATAAGGTTTTGTTAATATAAACAGCTATTTACTACTTTGGGTACATTTTCCAACACTTTATGTTCATCAAAGTCTATTCTTTGGTATAAAAAGCAGGAATTTGCCTAAATAGTGGTTTGATGTACAATGTTTTTTTTTTTCCAAATTATTGTTAAAAGCACATTTTTTAAAGGCTGACACCACAGCAAGGGACACAATATGTGGGGCTTTGCCACAAATATTTAGAATTTTATATCGTTTTCCTCAAAATGAACATGTTTAAACATGTTTGTCTTTAAAAGGCTCACATACCATAAAAATGAAATACCTTTAAAGTAAATGAACTTGATATATTATGTAAACACTGTTAAAGTTTCAAAATATTCAAAATATAATGTTTTTTTTTATAACAACAAGTTTTATTAAATCAACAAAGGCCACATAAAAGACCATGAAGAAAAAACAATTTAAGTTGGAAAATGAAAGTTAAAGTTGGTATCTGATTTGACTTAAACACGCAAATAGGCAAAGGCTGAAGAGCATTAAGTTACTTTAAGGCAGAAATGAAAGTAACAGTGACATGGTTCTGTTTTCATTCTGTACCCACTGTCTGCATTTCCACATAAGAAACTAAACTGATCAAAAGAATGGATGAACTTCTGAGTTATATGTAGTTTTATATATAATATGGCAGTGGTTCCCAGGTGCTGGAGTATCCTTGCCTGGTCTTTCCTGCTCTAACACACCTGGCTCACACCCACTTCCTGAGCTGAAGTGGGTGTGAGCCAGAACTGAGCAGTAACTAGTTACGTTTATTCAGTTACAGACTGTTGCTGTCAGAACAAAACCTCCATTTTTCATGTTTTGATATTTTGAAAATATAATCTGCCCATTATGTTAAAGTAAAATTTAATGTCAATGAAATGATATAAAATTACCTGAAACAAAATCTCTTCAAATTAACTTGCAGTGTTTTTCCCTGCCATAGGGAGCTTAGTGGTTGCTCCCAGGCTGTTGCTATTGTTACTGATGTTGTTGTGTTGGAGTACTTTTGCTTATTAGTGCAGGTGTGTCCGAGGACAGTGGGCTTTGTAGTGTTACTAGTGCTCAGAAGTGTCTACCCTCCACATATTTCCTCCTGTGTTACCCACTCCATGTGTGTGGAACAGCACTGGGCTGCACATTTCTTGCTGCCTGTTGAAATGTTTGAAAATAAAACAGCATTTGCCCATATGCGCCATCTTCCTCTGAGCCAATGCTATACACTTAAAAATGATGGTTCTTCAAGGGTTCTTTAGTAAAGAAGATGGTTCTATATAGAACCATGAACACTCAAAGAACTGTCTGCATAATTAAAGTGTTCTTTGCATGATGAAAGGGTTTTCTAAAAGGTTCTATATAGAACCATCTACAGCACAATCTATATCAATCTGAAGAACCCTTTCACGATGCAAAGAACCTTTTAATCATACGAAGGGGTCTTTGAGTGTTCATGGTTCTATATGGAATTGTTTTCTTTACTAAAGAACTCTTGAAGAACCATCATTTTTAAGTGTGTAGAATTGTATTGAAATGATGGTGCTTGCAGGATTTGATAATTGTGATGGTCTCCTAACTGGACTCCCAAAAAAGAATCAAACAGCTTCAGTTGATTCAAAATGCAGTTGCCAATTTCTCACTAGAGTAAAAAAAGGGAACACATCACCCGCCTACTTAAATCCTTACACTGGCTACCAGCACATAACAGAACAGACTTTAACTACTTAAAAGGCCTGGGCCACCTAAGGAGAATGTTAGAACATTTGCACTCAGTCTAATTGCTCACAAATAGTGGGTGCTCGAAAAACAAAGTTTATGTTTTTTATTTGCAGCAGAGATAAGTAAGTTGCATGTTTAGACAGATCTTCCTCAAATATGTTCAAAAATATGTCAGACACTACTTTTTACTCAGTTGTTTGAGTTCAGTTCTTTGTAATTCATTTGTTTGTGTTTATTTTTATTCTGTTTTTGTGCTGTAGCTCAAACTTTTCATTGTTGAGCTTTAGCAATTATTTTTGGCCAAAAAGATCCCAAAAAGAGAAGGAAAGCACCTAATAAATTTCAAGTCCTATGCTGATAGCTGCTGGATATACTACGAAGTTCCGCTGTAGTTCTACAGGGAACTCAATACTCAAGTTTTTTGACCTGGTATCTTTTTTCTTTCTATTGATTTCTGAATTTTGTTGGTTTGCATTGATTTTTGGCAGGTTACTCCTAGTAATTATTTCATTGATGTAACAACACTTTCATATGAGTGTAGGCTACTTAACACACATCTAGTTAGAGCTGGAAAAACACTTGTGTGGCAATGCAACCATATCCATTTTGCATATGAATTGTTAATGACTTTACTTTTAACGTAAGTCAATGGAACCAGAAAATTTTCAAGTCTTTTTGGGCTGTTTCTTTTGGTCTATTCATTCACAATGTTAAGGGCAACAGGCATTTTCAAAATATGTCAAAAACTGAAAAACAACAAAAATAGAGGTACAAGATTTTCTTCCGACAGCAGTGATATGAAATATATATGTGGCCTTGGGGAAAAGTAAGACTGACTTACTTCTGGCGGAACAAGTGATTGACCTCTAGCTGGGTCTCCTCTTCAGTCTGCCCTAGGCCTCTGTGCTGGAGCCTCCGGAGCCGCTCCTGGGGGCTGACGGTCAGCAGCAGGACCAGGCTGGGCCGGAGTAGGTCAGAGGGCCATTCGTAGATCTCTGAGCCCTGAGAGGGCAGCTTTTCCACTGGGCCGCTCACTGCAGTGGCTATAGCATACGCTGCTGTACTGTGCCAGTATCTGAGAAAGAAAGAAAATAGGATGCTAATAATGCAGTGCAGCTTTTGTTTCACTGATTCCAAATGAATATTCTTTCTCTCTCTCAGGCTTTCTCAGCTCATTTTAACTCAGCTCAGTTCAAAGAAGATTTACTGAGATGACCACGCTACATTATAGTTCTGTCGGCTCATCTGCTGAAGCTGCTGAACCATGTGGATTTGTTTACAGTCAAGATATTTTCTAACCTGTCCACAATCACAGGGCTCTGTGATGACTCTCTCCGTATCTGGGCTGCAGTAATGTAGTTCCCCAGAGCGTAGAAGGCCCTGCGGATGAGTGGAGGCTCTGAGTCAAAGCGCTGTCTGTATGGGGCGAGGCACTGGGGAGGAGATTTCAGCAGAGTGGCACCCAGAGCTTTCTGTAGGCTTTCAGTCAGAGTGCTTTTACCTGAACAGGCAGGGATCAGACAGGCTGCTGTTAGAGGTCTGTGCAAAACAGACACTAGGTCTCATTCATCAACCATTCTTAAGAAGAAATTTCTTCTTAAAATCCACTTACGCAGTTTTTACAACATTCAACAATGTTTTCTTATTTGGGATTTGTTCTTAGGCAAAAACAGAATCTACACACGCTCAACAGCACAAAGGTGCAAACAATTCTGCAGTTTAAGAACACATAATGAATCTGACGTAGACTTTTTTCTTAGGATCTTTCTCAAAAACAAACTTAGGAAGATATTGAATGAGATATGACTAAGGCCCACTGTTTTTTGGAAAGAAGTACTGCTTTGTCAAAAAAGGAAAGGGAGAATTACTATGGAGAGCATCCACTGACAATTTAGTCAAAGAACAGGCTCTGTGAGAAGGAGTGACAAATTAGTGGCGAGTGAGCGATATGAACTGAAATGTATGATTATTATTTCCACTATCTAGACAATAATATAGCTGTAGCTAACAGATGAACGTAGCATAATCAGCTTTTTAATGTATGAAAGTAAACTAGTGCCTTTAATAAAAGACATTCATCACCTGTAGCATCCAGTCCTTCTAACACGATGACTGGAAACCCTTTATCCTGCCTGCAGGCCTCCAGTTGTTGGTCCACAATCTCCAGCACTGCCTTTGACTCTGGAATGATGTTCCTGCACTGAGAAAGCCAGAATTCATTAAATTGTGTAGTAGCAGTAAGTTTAGTCAACTAGTCTTGGAAACTGGTTTAATCTTGATACATTTCACAACTTATCTGAGTGGATTCATCAGTACAACAGGTTGATTCTGAGATGATGTTTCTGCACTTAGGAAGCCAGACGTATCTACAGTACACTCAGTAATAGCTTGTAAGCACACAGCTTGCATAATCTCATTGGAGCAGCTATACATAAGCCTAAGGTCAACATGCCTAATGCTAAAGCCCTGTGCACTGGGCAGAAAAACAGTGAATGTGGTCTCTGGAGTGATGGAGCTCCGTCCAAAACCCTTGGGATGAGCTTATGTGGCGTTTGTGATACAGAACTAATCATCCAACATCAGTACCTGACCTCACTAATGCTACTGTGTGGCTGAATGCAAAATTCCAAAGTTCCAACATCTAGTGTAAAGCCTTCCCAGAAGACCAGAGGCTGTTACTGCAGCAAAGGGGACAAACTCACTATTAATACCCTTGATTTCAAAGGGAACTTGGTTGAACATCCTGACATGTGAAACTGACCATTTCAAGTTTTGGGTAATAAACTCATTGATGTAATGCTTCCTAATGATTATCAAACATGCTTTAAGAAATTAATCAATCCCTGCACAGCATAGACCTGCATGAAACCAGTGCTCTATGCTGGTTTATCCTGTTCTAGAGCTGGTCCAGTGCTGTTTTAGCTAGTCACCCAGCATAACAGCATCCAAAACAATATATCACTGCTGTCAGAACAAAACCTTGTATTTCCAAAATGATAACTTTACAGGAGAAGGAAGAAACACACATAACTTTTAATGTAAGTCAATGTAACCAGACTTTTTTCAAAGTAATTTTAGGCCATTTTTCTTTTGGTCCATTCATCATGAAATTTACAAACAACATAAAGGCCAACCGGCATTTTCAAATCATGTCAAAAACTGAAAAACAACTAAAATTTACATATGAGGTTTTGTTCCGACAGCAGCCATATGCTGGTTTTGGTGGTTGATGAGCGTAACAGTTTCCAATGCTGTTGTTGTGCCAGCATCAAAAACACTGCTTTATTGATGATCAGCTATGCTGGACTGTGCTGGTTTTTCGAGCAGGGATGCCCCACCAAAATATGCTTATATACCTCCTTAAGAACCTGGTAAGCATCCTCCAGGCGGTAGAAGACGTCAGAGTTGATAATGTTCAGTATTGCTGGATGGTGCTCGGGGGCTGTGGTGGGCGTGACGTAAAACCTCTGGTTCTGTCCAGCCTCTGGCTCTGTGGCGGGACTCCTAAACATCTCCTGGCACCACCAGTACTGCCCATCACAATCGCGCTCATACGAGAACACGCTCAATGAGTGACTCTGCTTGAAGTCGCTTAAAAGGCGCTCTGTGGAGTTCGAGGCGGACTCGTCCCTCAAGAAAAAGCCCCGGATGAGGGAGTCCTTGGCGCCGGGGAGGAAGGAGGTGAGCGGTGAGAAGCTGCACTCGGGCGGTAGCTGTGCATGCAGCGTCTTCATGAGCTCGGCGTGACTCCGCGCTCTCTGCACTCTGCCGCCGCCGCCGCCGCCGTCAACCAGCAGAGAGAAGATGCGCGCGCTGCCGAAAGCGCGCCGCACCGCCTCCGCGTCCGCTCTGGTGCTCGCGCTGCGCTCAGAGCTCAGGCTGAAGCAGAGCGGCTCTGCGCGCGCCTCCAGCTCCAGCAGGAAGAGCCGCGAGCAGCCGCGCGCTAGCCGCGACACGGACATGTTCAGTAAAGAGCGCAGAGCTCGCGCTCCGTACACTCTGCACACACTCTGCACGCACTCTGCACGCACCCGCCCATGACGCTCTTTATTACAGAGAAACAAAACCGAACGACGAAACGAAAGTAAACAGAGCAGCCGAGCAGCACGTGACCAAAACATTGCAACAGCCAAATAAATAATAGCCTGAAATAGCCTGATGAAAATGTAAGCCAGTCAGGACGTGCGCATGCTAGTAGATAGAGAGATAAATAATTAAACAAACAAACAAACAAGCAAACAAACAAATTACTAAATAAGGACACGCGCACGACAGTAGATAGCATAGGTCACAAGTAATTAAACAATTCAACTAAAAAATAAAAAACAAACAAATAAATAAATACGCCAGGACATGCATATATATATATATATATATATATATATATATATATATATATATATATATATATATATGAATGAAGTTTGACGTATATGCAAAAGTTAAATTAATAAGGCCTGAATAAATAAGCAGCATGAATGTTTTGTTACTGACTCGTTTGAGGTGCGCTCACTGAAGTGCAGCCTGTCCACTTTGTTCTTTTCTGTCGAGCTGCGTAGGAACATGATTAGGCGTATATGTTTCCTGTGAACAGCAGCTTCTGTGAAAGGAGCCTGAAGCTCATCTGTTTCGGTTTCCTTTCCTCAGCCTCACCGAGCTCACCGGCCCTTATAAGAGAGCGCTCAGTGCAGCACTCTCACTCTCCCTGTTACTCACTCTCTCAGCATGCTCCACTCGAATCAGCTGGCTTTAGTCAGGCTGCTCCTGCAGCTGTGCATCAGCAACGTGCACGCGCGTCTCTCTACTCTGCTCAAGTGGACGACTGAATGGCTGAGAGGGAGAACCGGACAGAGCAAACTGACCCCGAGAGACCAACCCAGAGCGTCCACAGCGGGACAGAGAGATCCGCACAGAGTTCAGGTCACAACTCCCAGAAGTGTGAACTACCACTTCACCCGCCAGTGCAACTACAAATGCGGCTTCTGCTTCCACACCGCAAAGACTTCGTTCGTTTTACCCATCGAGGAGGCAAAGAGAGGATTACAGCTGTTAAAGGAAGCAGGTAGACAAGAATTTACCCAGCACCTGCATCTCACTAGCGCAGGGGATTATAGGAGCACAGTGTATTTAATTAGATATTTCATATACATTACATGATATTATTATTTTTATTATTATTATTATTATTATTATTATTGTTGTTGTTGTTGTTGTTGTTGTTTGATATCATTACTATTATTACTTAACAGGTGGCAATAATAATGACACCTGTTACTATTGTTGTTATTTATTAACAATAACATCAGCTTTCGGTGATATTATTGTTATCACCCTCATCATAATCATTATGCCTACTATCATTTACATGTAATAAAATTCTTTAAGCCCAACTTCCACATGCATGCATAGAACTACTACTACTACATCTACTACTACTACTAAAACTAATAATAATAATAATAATAATAATAATAATAATTTATTATTCTTATTAGGGATGGAAAAAATCAACTTCTCGGGTGGAGAGCCTTTCTTACATCAGAGAGGCGTGTTCCTGGGTGAAATGGTGCGCTACTGTAAGCAAGAGCTTGAGTTACCGAGCGTCAGCATCGTCAGTAACGGAAGCACGATAAAGGAGAACTGGTTCCAGCAATATGGTGAGATGTGCTACAGTGAACAGCAGGGGGCAGCAGCGCCTCATTAATCAGTACTTTGCTTCGCTTGTTTTTTTTTTTGTTTTTTTGTTTTTTTTGCAAGAAGTGTCAGGTGTATAAAACACTAAATACATCACATCACATGTCCCTTAGACTACAAAACAAATAAGCAATACTATGTCAAGACAAAGATTGCAAAGATTAATTGAGGTAGAGTGTTCAAATGGTTTATCATGTCAATCCTGAAAACAGGAAAACAGGATTTTTGTTAAAATTATTTGCCTTTATGTAAAACCTCAATGGTATGAGTAGGTTCAGTATGAAATATGCATTCTTTACATCTTTGCTAAAATTATGGAAAGCCAATAGAACATTTTGTTTAATAAGGAAAAGATTGTGTAGCAGAAGGTTGCTTCAAAAACACTGAAGCCGAAATATCTACATTCCTAGAAGAGATGTGAGACAGATTTTGCCTCAAAGGAATGTTATGAACAAAGTGATTACAAGGCACTGTTTGCTTTTTATATTACCATTAATTCATCCTAAACTACACACCCCTTAAATACAATTTTAAAGTTTCTCTGTGACAGCCCCCCTTAAAATATATATATATATATATATATATATATAGTAAATGTAAATACATATATACACATACATATATTGATTCCTTATTTGCAAAGTCACCAGAAATCTAATGTCTGAGTCTGGCTGTAGCCCTGCCTCTTTTACATGTCATGCACACATTACAAATCGTGTAGGCCTAAAACATCATTTACAGAATTAAAAAATGGGGAAAAAGCTAATAATGACAAAGTATGTCTTCTGTCATTCACAGGAGAGTATCTGGACATTCTGGCAATCTCATGTGACAGCTTTGATGAGGAGACCAACAGAGCTATCGGTCGAACTCAGGGCAGGAAAAGTCACTTGGACAATCTGCATAAAGTGCGGAACTGGTGCAGAAAGTACAAGGTGGCCTTCAAAATCAACTCAGTGATCAACACCTTCAACATTAATGAAGATATGACAGAGCACATCACTTCCCTTAATCCTGTGCGCTGGAAGGTAGGGCCTCAGGTCTTCTTAGAGTTCTATGTAGTAGATGTAGATGTAGATTTTGTGCTGATGTGGTCTGCTGGTCTTACATTTCAGGTGTTCCAGTGTCTGCTGATTGACGGTGAGAACACAGGAGGGAACAGCCTTCGGGAAGCGGAGAAATTTGTCATTGGTGACCAGGAGTTCCAAGATTTTTTGGACCGACACCAGAGCATTGAGTGCCTGGTCCCAGAGTCTAATCAAAAGGTAATGACCTCTACCCTTCTGAGAAGGCTTTACACTAGATGTTGGAACATTGTTGAAAGGATTTGACTGCATTCAGCAATAAGAGCATTAGTGAGGTCAGGTGCTGATGTTGGATGATTAGCTCTGAATCACAAACCCCACTCCAGCTCATCCCAAAGCTATTGGACGGAGATCCATCACTCTAGAGAATGCAGTTCCACAGCTCCATAGCCGATGCTGATGAGCTGTACTCCTCTAGCTGACACTTGGCATGGTGGCCTGTCAGCAATGCATGCCCCTTAACCCTTAGAACCCAAAGCCTGCAATTTGCAAAACGGTAGGTCAATTCTAGCCTTCATAACTTCAGAATGGTTTAAGCTTCAGACATGATACAAATACCAGACCATTCAGCAGACCCGGCCCTAACTAGCTACCATGATGTCATTGAGCTGTTACATCAGCATCAGTGAGTAATTCGGCTTGGAAAAATCACCAAAAATCCTGATATTATTGCTGTTTTTTGGCCTTCATATTCTCTGCTCTCACAATCCAGAGTGATTTCATCCACCTGTGACCATCCATCAGCCAGCAATCCAGCTCCAAAATCACTCAAAACCCACTCGCTACCGTTATATTACATCTCTGCTTTTAGCCTTCATATTATAAACAAAGGGTTAAAAATAGCGACATGATTCACAAACCAGATCACTCAGAGGAACCTGCCATCACTAGCCAGAGTGAGAGAAACCAGCTCTAACACACAGCCATATCACTGTAAAACCTGCTATTGTTCTCTGCTTTAGCCTTCATGTGGCAACAAAAGGGTTAAAATAGCTCACTCATTACAAGGGGTGTCTGGATAATTTTGGATGTATATATAGAATACAAATGCATGTAAAAGTGTACCCCTGCACTAATAACTCCAATATGTTTTTCTATTTTTTGTTGTCTTTCCAGATGAGAGACTCCTATCTGATTCTGGATGAATATGTAAGTACTGTTAGAATATCTTTCTAGTGTTTGTTTCCCAGTGGTTATTCATCAAATGTTAGAATAGTAGGTCATCATATAGGGGTTTGTTTGCATATATATATTTTTTTTAATTGTTGTATGATTGACATTGTTGACCTGTGATCTTTGTCTTTGCAGATGCGTTTTCTGGACTGTCGAGCAGGAAGGAAAGACCCGTCAAAGTCCATTCTGGATGTTGGGGTGGAGGAGGCCATCAAGTTCAGTGGATTCGATGAGAAGATGTTTCTCAAAAGGGGGGGCAAATATATATGGAGCAAAGCAGATATGAAACTGGATTGGTGATTAACTTCAGTATTTACCATGTTTGTTGGCTAACACATCCCTTTTTTATGTTCCTGACAACTCAGTAATAAGTATGTTACTATGTCATGTTATTTATCTATGTGCTATATTTTTGCTATATGCATTATTTTATTTGTAATGGATGGATTGGATTGGATGGATTGTTTTCTCTCAGTACTAGCCTATTAATGTTACATTACTTTTGATCTATATGTGCTCAGAAGTACTCACTTTATTTAGTATATTAAATATAGCATTATGACACATAGGAATACTCCTTTTTAGTAAAACAAGCCTAAGTTTTGTTGTTGTTTTTTTTTGTTTTACCATACTAAATTATTTGTTAGACATAAATGGGTTATATACTGTGTGTATATTCCTCACTTTCTCTGATCTCATGGCTTTACTGGAGCAGCAATACCCTTAACATAAAAGCATAATTGTCTAAAGCATAAAAGCATAAACATCTTTTGGTATTCACTTTGCACAAATTACAGCATTATGTCAATATCTGTGTTAAATAAAGGTCTATATTTGTGACAAAACCTATTCTGTGTCACCGGAGTGCTATGATGAAATATGATGAAATCTGATGTGACTTGACTGAAATTTTTGTTTGTTTGTACCAACCCAGTCTTTACAGTCCAAATATGGAAAACAGCCTGTTTTGAATTCACTGTTTTTGTGATGTCATGAAACCCAACATATTTGCATATAGTCATCTATTCAGCCTACAGTAGTTAAGCCCTGCCCATTCACGCTGACGCTGTAAGGAGCGTTTCAGTCTGGACTGTTTTTATAAATGAGGCATGAAACAGGACAGCCAACCAGAATGGTTGAAGTTATTTGCATATGTAAGTCTTAAAGGCACAGTAACAAAAACAGCCTGTTTACTTTTAAGGAATAAAGAGAGGTTAGAAAATGTAAATAATGATCATGTAAATAATGATCATCATAATGAATTATGATTATAATTTATTTTTGGAACATAAACCACATAAATATCATATACAGACCTCATAAATAAATAAATAAATAAATAAATAAATAAATTGGTCAGTTAAGCATCTAAAAGACTCACACAGCTATCAACATTACACAATGTGAGTGAGCGCAAGATTTGTTACAGGATTCGTCTTTTTTTTCCCTTCCTATATCCAACCCAGCATTTTCTGTTGTTCTGGCCTGACACCAATATCCATCGACACCAACACACCATCTCTGAAAGATATTACCTAAAATAACACACAGAGCACACAGAAGTCTGACAGACTGGCACGGCAGTGACAAAATATGTTTCTGTTATATGATGGATTGTAATGACTGCTGTTAAAGATGTGATGTTCAATAAAAAAATTAAAAAAAGTTCTTTAAGAACTCCAAAGAGGTAACGTAGCCTTCTTATTAAAGGGGCCATATCCTACATCCTGTATCCTATATCCTGTTTATCTCTGAGGTCCACATATGACTTTTGAGTAAATTTATGTAGCTAAAACAGCTACCTCTCTAAAAACACCTCTTTTTGCACCCAAATAAACAGGCTATTTTTGGTTCTGTGCCTTTAACGCTCATGTAAATGACCATGACCTTACTTCTGATTGGCTGTCCTGTACTGTGCCTTTTTGGCGGTCCAGGCTGATACACTCTTTATAACTTAAGTATGACTGGGCGGAGCTAACTTACTCTGGGCTAAACCGGTATAAATATGTAAACACGTTGGTTTTCAAGACATCACAAAAACAGTTCATTCAAAATGCGCTGTTATTGCAGCTTAGTGATATGTTTGTACAGTATGGACTGAGGGGTTTAACAGCATATTTTGAAACTCAGCAACGTTTGCATAGAATATCAGACTGTTTAGTTTTAAAAAGTGGGAAAATTCTGTTTTTTCCATGATATGGGCCCTTTAAAAAAACCGTTAACTAATAGCGCCTTTTACCCGATGGGTGGCGCTGTTTGTGCATTTTGCTGTGACGCTCCGTTTAAAGCACTGAAGTAGGAAACGCTCAGACAAATGGCGTCTTCACAACAAATCCGACTTAACAGCTGATTCTTCAAAACTACACGGAGACCTGAGGTAAATACAACACATCGTGGCAGTCTGATCATGACGAGGCTATTTTCCTCAGCTTAGCATTACGTTGTTACAGAATGCAGAGCTTTAACGGGTATGTTTTTTTCCAGAGACATTAAGAATATCCGTTGTGCGCTTCGCCAGCAGCACAGTAAAGCAGTAACGCCTGCTAGGAGTAGCTAGTCTGGTGGGCTTGATGGGCTTACCCTTAGTGGAGCTTACTAAGTGGCAGTGTTATGTAGCGAGGTGTGTAATGTCTGGACTGATGTGTCATTTCAACAATGAGAATGCGCTTCTCTCAGCTGGCTGATAACGTTAGGTTTTCTCTCGGATTCATGTAGCAGAAGCTGAAGTGCTGTATTGTTTACGCTCGGCTGTTCTTTCTTTTTGTTCTGTTGTGTCTGCCCACAGGTCGTTATTCAGATGGTCTCCGTGAGGGCAGGACCTGTCAAGGCTAACAATGCCTATTTGCAGCTTGTGCCCTCTGTGCGACATTTATTTAGTAAAATGGATCTCCATCGTACTTGTATAGCAGTCTAGCTGGCTACTGCACTGTAGCTTAGCAAAGCTGCTTTTAATTGGCCGAGCTCCAGTTCCTTTGGCAATAATCTGGAGGGCTTCGGATTCCACACACAGCCGGTTTGTAGCTCGGGAAGTTTTGACAAACTCAGACCACTTCTTTGAACGTAAGGTGAGTAACCTATATTAGTTAGCTTTTGAAAAACGCTGTTTTTTTCTACCACGCCCTACTGTGTGTGATATTTTAACTGTACCATGATTAAGGACCAATACGAGTATGAACGAAGCTGAATCAGCTTCTTATTCGCCAGCTTCTTGTTCGAAGTTTCCCGTTCCACCTTAAATGGTGCAGTAGGTACATTCGGGTGCTCCAGGGCCCAGGATGTAACTGCTGCAGCATTTAAGGTGGAACGGGAAAAATCGAAGAAGAAGCTAACTTCAGCCTTGTGTAGTGCGAGTAGTAACCTACGTGTCCGGCTGCAGGTGCAGGAGTGATGCCAGTTGCGGTGTTCAGTTTTTTCTTGGACCTATTTCTAAGGTACAAGATCTTGTGGTAATATATGAAAGATTTTCTGTGAGGTCTGGGGGAAATGAGGTGTTGGTTGATGAAGTGGCATTTACTGTGCAATATTTGTTTTTTTTATACGGGTGCATCAAAAAGGGTACCTGTTTGTACTGTATGAGGAATTGTTTCCCTTTCTGTGTGCCTCTGTGTGTATCTGTATGTATGTATGTATGCATTAGCACACAAAAACTGTAGGTGGAAATCAACAGATTTTTCTACCTGTCTTCTTACAAATTTAGAGTAAATAATGAATACTTTTATACTTATGTTTTCTATTTACAATATATGTGTAAAGACAAGGTGCCCACTTTGTCACAGTTGTCATCATACCAGGGACAATGGTAACACTTATTTGTGACACTGTAAACTGGCCTATAGAATAATAACAGAAGTGAAGTCTATGAATGAAATCTGTTGTTGGCCTAATATTTCTGTACTTTTCCATTAAAATGAATCCTTTTTTTAATGAGTTACTAAATGTTCAAGCTTAATTTGCTAATATAGGTTTCTTCACTTTCTGTTTTTTTTTTGGTATTTTGAAAGTAATTGCAAATTATTTGATTTTTAGTATTACAGAATGTTTCATATTTCCCTAAAACTACTGAATGTGAATCAATGAATTTCATTAATCAGTCAACCGATGTGAACATAGTTCATTCTGGACTCAGGAGCATCTGACAGTGTAATTTACCACAAGTTCAGTTGTAACACTAATATAACTGTCCCCCGCTGACTCTACCTTACTACACATGAGATGTGTCTGCCACACAATTCATTTCTCCACTGATGTAAATTTTCATTTTAATCTTGTCATTGGGACCTTGTTATTACTTGATGAACAAGCCCGAGCAAGTTTTCACTTGCTGTATGCCTTTAGCTTCTAGACGGATCTTAAAATGGCTGCTGCTATCTAGCACTATTTCTTATACATCAAGTATATACAACAAAGAAGAACACTGTCCTTCCTTATTTAAGCACTGCTATGCCTTTACTATTGCAAAGCTCAGGAATGATGTGTGTTAACCGTACTCTGCCTCTTATTGCATTCTGGATATCCTTGTATGCATATAGGTGCTAGTGTTTGCCTTCAGGTCAGCCGGGTTTATTCCAAGAAGTAGTAGACCACTTATTTTGCAGTGTTGTAATGCTCTCGCTGCACAGAAAACGGAGTCTGCGGCCTTCATTTGACAGGAGAAGAATGACTGTGGCTCTTAAAGCCTGCAAAGCCTTCTGTTCTTGGTTCGAGAGCACTTGAGGAAGCAGGACTTTTTGTTGTTTGAGGAACTGGCAGGCATGATGTGCTTTTTGAGAAATGGCCTGGCCTTTCATTTGAGATGAGGTCAGACCAATAATGGTTTTACATGAGGAGGAATTTGTCAGTCGTAGCTCTTATGTTGACACTCAGTTCAGGATTGGGTGACGTTACTGTTGTGGTGTGGGTGATGTTTGGAAACATTTAGGAGATTATTGTTACTGTTTTACATGATTTTAGGCAGACAGATCCTGTGAATGTACTGTGACACTCTCAGTGAAGTGCTTTTCAAATTTAAGCTCGCTTACAGTTTTGTTTCAACAAGTTAGTGAGTAATATATATATATGACAACATCATTAACCAAGAGGCTTAATAACACAGTTACCCGGCTATAGGCCTGGACAGACCACTGTTACAGGTAAAATCCAGATGGAATGCCTTTGTAGGGAGTGGTTGTGGTTTACATGTGGTGTAACTAGAGGGTTTGGCACCTCAACAAGGAGGCTAGAAGGTCAGTACTATTAATTACCCAGTGGAGGCATAGCTATGGGTCTGTATTTTAACTATTTTTTGTATCTGAAGCCTTTTTAGCCCTGTCCTTTATGAATGCCTGTGACATAATAGTGGAATAGAAATAGTGGATTTTTATTTATTTATTATTGTATGAGATGAGAACACAGTGAAAGTCAGCAAGGTCATGAGAGCAAACTAGAGTCAGACTGATATGAAAATTGTGTGTATGCTACTGATTTCAGGGTGCTAAAATTCTAATTACAGATAAAACAATTATTTATTTATATTTTAAACTTTAGTTTACACACTAATAGTTTTTCACCGTTTTTTCCATTTAATTTGAAAATGTCAGCTGCCATTTATTCTGTGTTAAAATGTAATGACAAAAATTTAACATGCGTTGAAAATTATGAATGCTTTTTACCTCCCTCTGTAAAGTTTCTTTTTTGTTGATAAGTGATTTTGTTCTGACAGTGATGATATTCAAAAGTCTTGATTGACCTACAGAACCAAACTTGGAGGAAAAAAAATCACAGGTTGGTTCAGGTATTAAAATAAATGGCCTTACAGAACCACTGTAGTAGAACCGAATGTTCTTTTTTTACCTGTTGTGAGTAATGAAGCTAATCTTCGTGTCAGCAGCACAAACTCTGTCTACATATTGTATAAGAAATTTAGACCTGGGCCTGCATTTTGGCCATGAGTCAGACTTTTTCTGTCTTCCTGTTAAGTGTGTATTGCAAATAGGCCTAAATTTGTCGAGTCTGGACAGGTATATGCCACTGAAACATAAATGGTACAAACTGAGTCAAGTATATCATTACATAATTTGGTCTGAGAAAGGGTGAAGCATGCAGTGATTAGGTAAGGCCATTACTCACGGCCCCAAAGCCACTCATGCCTTATGAAGTTACTTACTGTGCTGTCTTCTGCCGGGGCCGTGCCAGAGCCATGCACTCTCGGGCTTGTTTTTTCTGCTTTTTCCACATCATTGATGCTCCTCAGCTAGCTAGGTTCTCCTGTAGCCTGTTACTAACTGTACCCAGTGAGATGGTGCAGCTTTGGTTAGTCAGCAAGTTGGTCTGTGGTCAGGAGGAGAACAGCATAAGTTTTGGAGAAGTGAGAGGAGCTGCCAAATGGTGCTGGCTCATCTTTTTGGAGAGGCTTTTCTTCCAGGGAAAAGGCTCAGCCTAGCCAGTCATGGATAGATATTGGCCAGAGTGCTGTGTAAGGTGTTATCTGAGGACCGCTCTGGGGTGAGAGTGGAGTGGCAGCAAATTCAATTTTCAGGCTATTAGAACAGGAGACAACAGTGCATAATGGATTAAAAAGCCTCTCATCTATTATTTAGGGGATATTTTAACTTGTTTGTTTTCTTGGATACTCTAATAAGGATTTTTCTTTTGTTTATGCAACCTTTCTGTGAAGTCCCAAGGGTGTTTTTCACAATATTCTCTTTTCTTTTTGACCTAGGCAGCCTTCATGTCTGACTTGTGCACTGAATGTATTACTGAGTGCTTAGACTGTTTTGTATTTAGAAATGCCTAATAAATCCTAATGCATTATCGGTGAATTTTTGGATTTGGAAATTTCAGTATGCTAAACTATAGGACAGCTGACAGCGATGTTGAAGTCTAAGATTCATTCCGTCTCCGTTACCACAATACAGACTGACTCCTTTCGGCACATCTATGATGCCTTTGTCTGTGAGTAAAAACAGGATATTATGCTGCAAGCCAGTAATAAGGAAGCCCTGGCTGTAGGTCTCTTTTCTAAAATTCTCCAAAATTACCCAGTGTACTGCCACTTAAGACAATAATGTGCCATGCGCTCTCAATTTAGCTGTCTGCTTCTGCCATCTGTCTCTGTTACCATTGAGAAACAGTAATGCTGATGGGCACCCTTTGGGGCTGAATAGTCTTTACATTTGAGAAGACAGAGTGAAACTGTATCAGGTAAGAAAATAGAAACAAGTATTTAGTCTCATGCAGTAAAATTGTCTAGCCAAACCAGAAGCAATGATGTTTTACTGATTGAACCTGTAAGCCTGGCTGTTTCCTGTAGTTTTGTGTGTAGGACAAAAGTGTTTTCTCCGGGGGGAGTGTCAGCACATTATTGAGGTCACTCTCTTTGGGCTTTGAGTCTGAGGGTTGGCCACACAAGTGTGTGTTTGTGTTAGGGCTGCACTGTATACCTTTTGCTCTCTATTATCGTGACACTAGTCTTCGCAATACTAATATGACAGAAGGGTGCAATTAGTCCATTAATACCACATTTAATGTACCTGGCGTAGATGAGATGTTCAGTAAACCTGGCTGTTGAGCTGTGCTGGTTGAACGCTCTTGGGGGGCGGGGCATTGTGTGCGGCTCTGGCTGGCAGATACCATGCCTGTACAAAAAGCTGCCTATGGTATGTTGTACACTGTAACACTTGGTCACAACATCAATTGTCAGACATCAAAAAACAACTTGGGGTCTCAGAAAAAAACATGTCTCAGGTCTTGTACAACTAGAAATCAGGCAAAATAACATCAGACTAAGTGGACACAGACACCACGGCCTCAGACAAAATGGCCTTGGACGGTAAAGTTCATGTGACACTTACAATTCTGTTATTTCTCACAAGATTTGTTACAGTTTTGTGGCCGAATTGAAGATGACAGTACTACTACACAACATACTACTACCACAATTTTTACTGCTATTGTGTTGCTTTATTTCATAAATATTAAGCCTCAGATTACCTAAAGAAGAGTGAGGCAATGCTTTGAGGCAAAAGAAATAACAGGTAAAGCAAGGAAAAAAAATCCCACTCCAATCCCCAGTCCTGGTTTAACCATA